GATTTTCTATATGTCTGCAGTGGAGCAATGGCCAAGCTTGGACTCGGAACGTGGCTAGGGTAAGAATGTCAGTGTGAAGTGCGGGCTTCGCTGCTCCTTGTAGTGCGGGCTGTCCCGCTCGCTGCTCCGCGGGCCGAGCTACGGCAGGAACTTTGCGCTTCAGCTTTAGGGACTGCGGCTGCAGGCCCGGCCCTTCGGGGCTGGCACCTTGCTGGAGGTGGCCCTTGGCAGCAGGAGCCGGTGCTGCAGGCACGGCCCTCACAATGACCCGCTCCGAGGCACCTTCCCGCTGACCTGGTGTGCAGTTTGACCGCTAAAAAGAACTTGCAGATTGGATTTCTAGTTTCCATGACCTGGACTTTTCGTTATTTTTATCGTTGTTATTTGAGGCGTACTGTAGAAATCTTTAGCAGTTCTTAATGAAGATCTAACTCTTCATTAGACTCTAGCTTTTCAAATAACAACAAAAAAAAATAGTATTGGGCACTCTCAAGTAGAAGACAGATCATAAAGTTTAATACCCTGATGTCCCTTTTGAAAATGCTCCTTTTCATAGTCAAAACAAGCCTGCAGACTTTATTTTTGTCTTTTAGCCCAAATCCTGCCTCCTTAAGACCTAGTCTGTCTTGTGAAGCTGAACTATGATTTGATTAAAATTAATGCTGGAAAAGTAGTGACGATAAATTAAAATGGAGTAACTTAATGTAATAGCTTTATGACAGATGTGTGCAGCTAACAGGAACTACACCAAAAAAAAAAAAAACCTAAAAAACCACAGATGAACCTCAAATGTGGAAAAAAAAAATGTTCCGAAGTATTTGTGAAATCCTGGTAACATTGTCTCGATCTAGCTATTGTGGCAGCCTAGGTTCTAATCCATGTATGTTATATACCCTCTCCATAAAGAGTATTTCTTAGTAGATGTTCAGCTTGACAAGAAATGTTTGGGATTGCAGCGCCGATGTTGCAATTTGGTAATACAATGTAAGTTGATTAATCTTTTGTGCATTGTTTCCCCTGAGCCTTTTCTTCCTTCTCCGCGGTCTCGCTCCTTTCTGCTGCCCTGCCGTGCATCCCCCTGCCCGGCTCAGTGTAAATTCCCACGGAGGACAATAATCCAGCACAGACAGTGTCAATAAATGAAATCGTAGCGCGACTTCTTTGCTTTGGGCGTTTTCTTTGAAAGAAAGAAAATCAGCATCTTCACACAAGGCGAGACTCTTGTTTTTTGTCTTTCCGTTGCCTGTGATCCACACCTGTTGTATATATGGTAAAAATATCTGGGAGTTACAACCCAGCAACAGTACGCAGCCAGGATCGCGTGTGACCGGGTCAAACACACACTCGCTGGAGGGTCATGGCCAGGTTACTAAGTCAAGGCTGGCAAGTCTCCACCATAATGTTTTCTTTCTCTCTCACTCTTTTTTTTTTTTTCCTTGTCTGTCTTCCAAACAACAGTTTTTTTAAAAAAAAAACCCTCGTAACAATGCAAACTATTTAAGCATGACAAATTCAAAGAAGCTTTTTATTAAAAAAAAGGGGGGGAGGGGAGGTTAGGGGCTTGAGTCAGTGATATTTTGGATTTAATTTTATAGTATAGTTTTATGTGGCACATGAAAGAGAGAAATTTGTATTGAAACAATTGAGACCCACTTTCCCAGTTCCTGGCTCTTTCCTGGAAGATGATTAAAAGCAGACTTTTTTTTCCAGACTAGACATAAAAATTAAATGATCTACAGTATATAGTTATTTTTTCAAATGTTTGGAGGCTTATAAATAACTTCTACAATCAAATGCACACATACAAGCAGCAGAGAATCTGGTTCTAATTACTTGTACTTTAGTTGAACTTTGGCGTTTCCTTTGACTTTCTGCCTAATGTATGTGAGCTGTGTGCCTTGCACTCCTGCAGTGAATTCACAAAAAAAAAGAGAGAGAGAGAGGCAAAAAATCCAGACTCTTGTTGGTGCCAACAAAAATGAGGGTTAACAGAATGTTTTGACCAAATGCAACACTTTGCTATTCACCCTAATTAGCTGAAATTGCTGCTTCCCACCAGGGACCCTGAGCTCAGTATTCAAAATTCCCTTGAGGCTATCCAGGAAATGCCATTTGCTTTACAACTTCTTATTCTTTTAAGGCTCAACTGTCCAAAGTGTGCATTAACATACAAGCTTAATAATCTGAGTTTCTAGTGAAATGAAAGGCATTTCATAATGCCTGCCTGCTTCTAATTGGTCGCAGAGTAAAATACCTGCATATCTGTCAACATGGTTTAGCTAACAGTAAATTAGCTCGCACAAAGCACACTGTGCTTTTAAAGATCTTATCTGCTACTTTATCTAACCTTTAGAAATATTTCAGACATGTCAGGAATTGTGAAGCGAGCTATTGTGCGAGCGAGTATGTTTAGGTGGCATTCAGGTGTGCTCTATCTGCACTTAGGCTCTGTTTTCTCAGGTGAGATCTCAGAGATCCTGAGCTGGCCCATCCTTCAGGACATTAAAGGGACAAGACAGCACATTGAGAGAAGTGCACTTTTTTTCTTTTTCCTTTTTTTTTGCCCCTCTCTTTTGACTAAATGGTGCTTGAAACTGTAAGATTATTTTTAAATGAATTTTCTGAAAACATCAAAACATCATCCGACTCTTTTTCCCCCCACCTTTTTCTTTTTTTTTTTTTTTTTTTGACTCTGGTGTGCAGCTATGTATAGAAGACAGTGAGTTCTGCTTGGACCCTGCAGCCTGCATGATATAGTAATAATGCTTAATGCTCAAACTTAACTGTGGATTGCCACAGTCTCCTGCCCCTGATTTCTGCGCTTCCACGCTGGCATTATATACGTTCTAAATAGATAAAGAGTTAAAGGGGCTAATTCCCAAGGAGAAAAGGAAGACCCAGCAGCAACCCCTGTAATCGAGTTCATGGCTCCTCCAAAACGCAGGCCATCTTGCCTGCAGTCAGAGGTGGACATGTTCCCAACACGCGCTTCCTCAGGAAAAATAAAAACTGCTGTAGATAGTTGTTCGTCTGGCACAAATATTCTACTGAGTGGGTTAAGCCATTTTAGTAGCAGATATGTCTGGGTAGGTTGGAGAAGGTCTTTTGTTTTGTCTTGTTGTTTTTCCCTCTCACATTCCTTTTCAAATTATCCAGCAAAAACGTTCCCTAGCGGCACCGTCAGATCTGGAGTTGCTGACTGCGCTCTGCGTATTTATGAACTGAGCGGGCGGCCTCTTCCCTTTGGAGTGTCCCAAGTTCCTGTTGCTGGGCCGGTGGCTGACAGGCCCGCGCCGCACATGTGGTTGGTGGTTTGAACACAGCTATTGGAGGCCGGGGCTTATTGAGAACGAAATCATCAAAAAAGCAGAAGTGGATCAGTATTAGTCCTAAAAGACTGCCTTTTTTTTTTTTTTCCCCAAACTGAAATCACAGAAGGATTGCAGGAGTACAGTTGTTTTATTGAACGACACAACGCTGTTTTTCCCCAGGGAAGCCTAAAAGCCGTCTTTTAGGCTGGCTGGGAGAGTTGAACGAGCTAATATGAACCACATTGTCTGCTGATATTGTGGAGTTTTAAAGGCGAAGTTTTATCATTCCATAGTGTGATTGGGAGCTGCTAAAATTCACATACGGGCGTGAAATAAGGAGCAGAATGTCTGAGGCCTCTGGAGGGCTTTGAGGAATCTAACTTTAATTTAAAAGTACTAATAGATTATTGATTTAAGCAGGATGGCTGGGCACAAATCAATAACATAGCACCTCTGTGTCTCTCTTAAATACCAAAAATTACCATTGAAAAGAAATGGTCATTTTCATCTCTTTTTTTCTTTTTTTTTTTTAAAAAAAGAAAACTTTAATAAAGTTTTCCTGGTCCAATAGGAACCTGGGAACCTGTATAGGTAGTTTACTTTGGAAAGGCCCTAAGATGGGTAATGATAATCCTGGACATGGTCTGAATATCCTGTTGTATTGGATCACTTGTGGGGTTTTTTTCTTTTGTGTTTTTTCACACAAGCCTCATTACCGATAGGCACACACATAAATTGCTCCTGTGGAAAAGATATTTATTTGCTTACAATCAGTGCCTTCGATATTGAACTCTGGCATGTATTTTTCTTCTCAACAAACGTCTGTCCTTGAAGTTGGTAGTAGCTTAAGCCAAGTAAAAATAGCATCTATTGGCCCTTCCTTAACAAGTAATCAAAAGTGGTATGATGCTCAGTGATCCCCTCTGAATTCCGAAGAACACTAGTTGGTGATGAATCATGAGTTTAATACAAATGTATCATCTTAGTAATCTGAAAAATATCATGTACAGTAAATCTTGTCTGAAATTTTCCATTGATTCTTCAGGACTCACTGCTAGTACTCTTGAGATTTAACTCTGCAGATAGTGCCTAATAATTCTGGATAGATCTGAGTTCACAGATTCTGTCATTTCTGTGTATCTGTTGAAAAGTTAGAGGGATTTATCTGAGAAGCAGCAGAACAAGTAAGTGAAACATGAAAATGTATCGCACAACCACAATAAATGTGAAGAACGATGACAGGCTATCACAGAAAACTAATGCAGATGGTTCAAAAAGATCTAGTTCACATGTCTTATCTCATGTCTTAGAGCTTTCTTGTCCTTTCCCTGAAAGAGATACCTCCTCAACAGGTGCAAAACAAATGCTCATCCAGAAATATTAAGGCAATAAGGGGATGTGGGGTCATAATGTATAGAAGTTGAGTTTTCTCAGAGAGGTTTCCTGATATTACAGATCCTAAGGTTTATTAAAAAGTGTTCCTAGGTTGTGCTGTAAACAAATAGGTTTGTCTTTTTTTTTTTTTTCTCACTTTGGTTCCCCCTTAAGTTTTACTGGAAGGCCAAATGAACATTTACTACAAAAAGAAATGGGCCGGTTGAATAATTCTAGAGCAGTAAATAACCAGTTATTTCAAATCCATTAATGAATTACTAACTTACATTTTCACTTCTTATTTTTCTTTTGTAGCAGTTGAAACTCAGAGTACCAGTTCTGAGGAACTTGTTCCAAGCCCTCCATCACCACTTCCACCCCCTCGTGTTTACAAGCCCTGTTTTGTCTGTCAAGACAAGTCATCTGGATATCACTATGGTGTCAGTGCTTGTGAGGGATGCAAGGTGAGTGCCAAAACCTCCCTTCCTTTTTATAGTACTGCATTTCATTTTAGAGAGGGGCTAAGCTGTGAAGTTTGGTGTGGCTTGATTGTTTCCAAAACACCTGCACTTTTGCTCATGTGAATTAATTCTAATGTATCAGTAAAACTATGAAAATTACTATCATGCCTGGAATTATTTCCCTTCATTCCTTCTGCCAAAGTCAGAAGACTTCTGCAGGCATTGACCGATGTGAGATAGGTGCATAAGGAATGGATCTTTGTGCATAATGAAAAGCACAACGTGAAAATGCTTCAAGACTCTTCATTGTCTTTTTGTAGATCAAATATAACCTGGGGATTTCTATGATCATTTTCTTGCTTTCTCTGTATGCTGCTGCCTCATGTGTCTCAACAGGGTGGAATTTTGGGAAAGGATCTGATCATCTGGAAATTTTTGGCATACTCTCTAACCCCACACTCATCTCAAGTCAACTCAGGAGTTTGAGAACAGATTAGCAGGATGGTATTCACTAAATTTAATCAGGCAGATTACAGTGTTGGCATTCGGGGTATGTCTGTGTGCTGCTTTCCAGTACTGTGGTCATCAGACTATGAACTGACTCTCCTTTGGGTGCAGTAATGTGATATGCAGTGCTGGAGTGGAGAACGTATCTATAGATGAGATACACATCAGAGATGCCGTGATGTCAGCTGAGTCCTGTGCGTTGTGTCAACTGCTGGAGGTGCCCACGCCATGAGGAGCACGTGTGCAAGAGCTCAGGCAGTGGTGGAAGTCCTAAAGAACAGATAACGCAGCGCAGCGGGTCTCATAGCTAACTGAATTAGTTTGGTACCCTCATACAACATGGTTTTTGCAGCAACTAAACAAAAGATCCATGATTTTAATCTTTTGAATTAGAATAATTATCCGTAGTACTTAGTAATCTTAATTCATAACCAGGATATGACAGCTGCTACCTCCATGTAAATGAAGTTGGTAGAATAAATGAATGGAAAGCCTGGTTTGGTGGTTAATTTGTGTGAAATATTACAGTATTTTTCTGATACTGTATATTTAGGAATTTTTGCATTATTCTTTTATTTTACAACTTCTCCCATGCTAGTGACCTCTGATACGGTCATAAAATTTCATAGCCCTGAGTTTGTGTTACTAGCCAGGAAGCTGCAGAATTAGAGTGTGGTTCCCCCTGTTTTCTAAGTTCTAGTTTTTCTAATCCCCCCCTCTAATTTCCACAAACTTGTGGAAAGTAACTAGTTAAGCTGGCCTAGTTTTAGAATCTCTTTGACATTGAGGTTTTGTTTGGAGATCGTGTCTTTAGATTTTTTTTTCTTTTAGTTGCCACAAATTTATTGACATTTCGGTGTCTGATAAGAAGAATGTATGATAGAAATATGCGGTAGGTGATTTCATTAAACAGGAAATCCCATCATACTCATGTACTACAGCACATATGGTCATATAATTTAGTTGCCCACACACTCCTTTGAAACATAGAGGTTGTAGGCTGCGTAGTTGTAGGCTGTGGTAGAAAGGTTCCTTAGACTTCATTAGTTTTGAAAAATACATTCGAATGTACTGTACGGCTTTTATGAGCACACTGTAAAGCATTTTCATAAATAATTAAAACAAGACCACGCTTACCAAAATGTCTGAACAAGTCCAGCTTGTAATGTGTTAACCATTATTTAGCAAAAAAAAAGTCATGTTCACTCATTTGCTAATTTGCAAAATGGGTTAATACAGCCCTTAGCAATAACTGCTGTAAAAAAGAAAAACAAAAAGATGAATTACATACAAACTCTGTCAGTCTGTGAGAAATAACAAGATTCCAAAACAGCAACCTGAACACTTGAGGCTGGTTACACTTTGGCTAGTTGACTCTAGCCCTCAGTAGGTTTGACTAGGATGTAAGGAATCCGTTCCACTCTTTGGATCAGCTCTCTCAGTTCACGCTCCAGGCACAGGCAAAGAACATGATAAGACCACAGAGTCAACCAGCAATCCCTTTGGTGGACAAAGTCATGTATTACATTTGCTGATAAAAATTGTCTGAGCTCCCAGGTGAGCAGAAGTTGTGTGCTGCATGATAGGAGACAGCAGGATGTGACCACAACACCTGAGCCTTCCTCAGCATCCTCCACTCTGGCAAATTTCCACATTTTCTCCAAATAATGTTACCCTTTTCTCTTGGGTGCTCTTGAATACTTTTAAACTATTGGTCTGTTTTTCCTTCCTTTGGTCTTTATTTTACACCTGCTTTCACACATATATTGCTTGCTCCTGCACAGTAAGAAAGCTGTCAGCTTGCACTCCTTACTTGAGCTATCTAGGTGCCCACCTAGCTATACAAGTGCTCAAATCTTCTTCACCATCCATTCCCACTGTCAGCTCTTAATGCTTCTCTATCTGCCCAGCTTTCTTCATTACAAAAAAAAAAAAATCAGACGGATCTCTCTCAAGCGTAAGCTTGTTTTCTCTGGCTTTCTGTCTTTTCAGTTGGTTGATGTTGGTTTATAGGAAAGTATGAGTTTCATCTAAGACATCTACTATCACACCGTAGTTTTGTGCCAATTCTCTGGAAACAGTAAGAAGGAAGAACTCTCATTGCAGCCTTTCCTCTAGTTAGAAAACAAATATTTCTCTCTTACCTGAACACACACTTTCACACAATTTCAATGAATTGGATTTTCCTGGAGACTGCTGTCTTCAGTTGTACCTGAAGTGCAACATGTTGGAACAATGCTGGGGTGGGGAGAGAAAACCTGGCAGTAGCTTGATTTCAGAAAGCCATTTTCCTGAGAAACTTGACGATAATGTTGTTCTAAACAAGTGTGAGGGTTTTTTTTTTTTCTCTCTTTCTATCAGACCTTGTTGCCATTTTGTCTTTCTTCACTCCTCTTTCCACCATTTCTTGTATGAGCCTGTTTGCTCTTTGTTCTGTAAGTAAACTTTGATCTCCTTCCTTTTCTTTCCTTTTTTTTCCTTCTGCTTTTGCACGACCCTCTGCTCTGATAACCTTCTCTCAAGTCTTTTTCTTTTCTCCTTTCTAAGTTACCTTTCCCTTCAAATTCCTGGCAATCGTGTTTCTCTGTAGACAAACACACAGAAAAATCTCCTTGGATCGTATTTGTTTCTCTCATGAGGGCTTTTGTTCTTCTTCTCTTGGTTCTCCTGTTCTGGCCCTCCCTTAATTTTCTGTGGGTTCCCTGCTTCCTTTTCTTTTGCCCATGTGGAGGCCCAATGAAGCTGCCATCACTGTGGTCATTAGCAGGCTCCTTGCAGCGCAGTCAAGGGTAGAGCTCTCTCTCCTTGAGTCTTGTGGGTGATCCCTGCCTTTGATTCCAGCAGACCTCCTTATTCCTGGCTCCCAGGGCTCTCTTGCTCAGGTTCACCTCTTACTTCCTTCACTCTTTATTTAATGTCTCTTTAAATGTCTCTTTATCCACTTTCTGAGCTTCTGTCCTTTGGTTTTCTATCTCAAAGCATCAGCTACTGTACTGCTTTGCAGCGGACCAGTGGTCTGTGTGCCAATGGCCTGGGGTAGGATAGGCCAATATTTTGCTAATAAAGTGCCTATTCTTAATGGGGACCGTTGCAGTAGTGAGTCCTTGGAGAACTGTTGACATTTATTATGGCCTCACAATGCTCAGCTTGCAAACCACTTCACCTGGAACATCTTCTTTCTCACCTGTCACCTGCCCGTGGATGATTTCTGAAGTTATTCTTCCTGTTGTGACTTCTTCCCCTACCATCTTGCCTTAGTATGCCCTCCTGCTCACCGGGGACTGTGTCCTTCTTGTGGTGCTTGACTTTCCTCTTGGTCTCTTCTGCGCTCCTTCCTTCCCTTTTCCTCCACACTGTCAGCCTTGGACCTTGCTCTTCTGTGTGCCCAGGACCAATCTCCTAACCTTCCTGTCAAACGCTTTCTCCTTTTACCTGTTCTGGCCCCCACTTCTTCCGCTGACCCTTTTCCCCACTGCATATCACAGTCCTCAACACTGTCTCCCAGCAGAAAGACTGCTGTGTGCCTTGGTTTGATATTCTCCTGTTCTGCCAGTGAAAAATTAGGAACTGTCTAAATAACTTGAAGTTCTCTCTTGTTTCATAATTTCACTGTTTTAATATGTTCGGCCCCACAATTTTGTCACGAGAGATTTTGGGTACCTTGCTGCCTACTTCCCAAACTTGGGATGTAACAGAGAGGTTTCAGCAAGCAGGTTGATACCCTGCACTTTTGCTCACTTTGGTCAGTCAAATTCAGCAGTCAGGTTTTTGTTCTAGTTGTTTCATATTGAGCTTTATGTTTATTTCTGGGTTTTATGCTGCAAAAAGCAAATACCGTATTGTAGCCTCTCAGTAGCTTTGCGTGTACAGGAATCTCAAAAACAAATTGATCTTCACAGCACAGCTGTAATTTGTAAGGGAAATTCCGGAGGCAACCCGTCGTTCTATGTGTAAAATTTGGTACATTTACAATATTCGACTTCCTTACGAGTTTTCCATTTCGAAAACCCCGTGGCATTTCCGAGGCAGGCTTTGAAATTTACTCATTTGTTTCATGACCTCAATGAAAGACACTTAAAATCTTTTAATTTCCCCCCTCCCTGGTGTGGTGAGCGCTGCTGGATGGCACGCAAGCGAATTCCGCGCGAAGGGAGCAGCAGCTCGCGTTGATCCAGCTGGTCGCAGTGCTTACAGGGCCCTCACAGAAAGACCAGGCTCCTGGCGCCCGCTCGGGGGGCGG